GACCACCCAATGTCCACTCAGATGACCACCTGGGCCACCAGTCTCTGGTTCTCGCTCAGCAGCTCTCCCTCATGGCCACTGCTGACCAATCCCACCCCATTGTCCACCCGATGACCACTCCCACCTAATGACCACTCTGAAGGTTCACCCAATGACCACCTGATGACCACTCCCACCCCATTGTCCACCCGATGACCACCCAATGACCAATCCCACTCAATGACCACCAATGACCACTCTGAAAGTCCACCGGATGACCACCCAATGACTGCCCAATGACCAATCCCACCCAATGACCACCTGATGACCAATCCCACCCAAAGATCACCCTGAAGATCCACCTGATGACCACCCAATGACCACCCAATGACCATTCCCACCCCATTTTCCCATCCAATGACCACTCCCACCCACTGACCACTTGAATGACCACTCTGATGACCACCCAATGACCACTCCCACCCACTGACCACCCAATGTCCACCCAATGTCCACTCAGATGACCACCTGAGCCACCAGTCTCTGGTTCTCGCTCAGCAGCTCTCCCTCATGGCCACTGCTGACCACTCCCACCCCATTGTCCACCTGATGACCACCCAATGACCTCCCAATGACCACTCTGAAGGTCCACCCGATGACCACCCAATGACCACTCCCACCCCATTGTCCACCTGATGACCACTCTGATGACCATCCCACCTTGAATGTCCACCCAATGACCACCCTGAAGATCCACCTGATGACCAATCCCACCCCATTGTCCACCTGATGACCACTCAATGACCTCGCAATGACCATCCTGAAGATCCACCCAATGACCACACAATGACCCCCCTGAAGGTCCACCTGATGACCACCCAATGACCACTCCCATCCCCATTTTCCACCTGATGACCACACCCACCCCAAAAGTCCACCCAATGACCACCCAATGACCACTCCCACCCTGCTGACCACTCAGATGACCACCTGGGCCACCAGTCTCTGGTTCTCGCTCAGCAGCTCTCCCTCATGGCCACTGCTGACCAATCCCACCCCATCCCACCATGAAGGTCCACCTGCTGACCACCCAATGACCACTCCCACCCAATGTCCACCCAGATGACCACCAGGATGACCACCTGGGCCACCAGTCTCTGGTTCTCGCTCAGCCAGCTCTCCCTCATGGCCGCCTTGTGGTCGAAGCGCTGGGCCAGCAGCTCCAGCTTCTCCTGCCGGATCAGCTCCTCCCGCAGGGCCACGCCCCGCTCGTGCTCCGCCTTCTCCAGGAGGCTCCAGGCCTGGTGGGGACAATGGTCAAGTGGTCAGTGGTCAGCAACGGGGACATCTGGGGGAGGGTCCCGGGGGGGTGGGAACCCATCCAGATGTGGTGGGAACCCATCCAGGTGTGGTGGGAACCCATCCAGATGTTCCTCAGAATGGTGGGAACCCATCCAGATGTGGTGGGAACCCATCCCCACGTTCCCCAGATGTTCCTCATGGTGGTGGGAACCCATCCAGATGTTCTTCAGGGTGGTGGGAACCCATCCCCACGTCCCCCAGACGTTCCTGAGATGTTCCCCAGATGTTCCTCATGGTGGGAACCCATCCCCACGTGCCCCAGATATTCTTCAGAATGGTGGGAACCCATCCAGATGTTCTTTAGGGTGGTGGGAACCCATCCCCACGTCCCCCAGATGTTCCTGAGAATGGTGGGAACCCATCCAGATGTGGTGGGAACCCATCCCCACGTCCCCCAGATGTTCCCCAGATGTTCCTGAGATGTTCCTCGTGGTGGGAACCCATCCCCACGTCCACCAGATGTTCCTGAGGGTGGTGGGAACCCATCCAGATGTTCTTTAGGGTGGTGGGAACCCATCCCCACGTCCCCCAGATGTTCTTCAGGGTGGTAGGAACCCATCCAGATGTGGTGGGAACCCATCCAGGTATGATGGGAACCCATCCAGATGTTCCTCAGGGTGGTGGGAACCCATCCCCACGTCCCCCAGATGTCCCCCAGATGTCCTCAGATGTCCCTGAGATGTCCCCCAGATGTTCCTCATGGTGGCCCCCCATCCCCACGTCCCCCAGATGTTCCCAAGATGTCCCCCAGATGTTTGAGATGTCCCACAGATGTCCCCGGTGGTCACCACAGTCACCGTGGTCACCGTGGTCACTCTGGGTGCCCACCTTGTTGATGTCGGCGATGCTGCGGCCGTCGCTGGGCACGAACGGTTTGGACTGCCCGGCCCTGAGCTCGCTCTGGATGGTGAAGAGCAGGACCTCCAGATTGCCCTTGTCCTGGAACCTGTGAGAGTGACCACAGGAGTGACCATCAGTGACCATCAGAGTGACCACCAGATCATCAGAGTGACCACCAGATCATCAACAGTGACCACAGTGACCACTGGGACTGCCCGGCCCTGAGCTCGCTCTGGATGGTGAAGAGCAGGACCTCCAGATTGCCCTTGTCCTGGAACCTGCGGAGTGACCACAGGAGTGACCATGAGTGACCATCAGAGTGACCATCAGACCATCAGAGTGACAACAGTGACCACAGTGACCACTGGGACTGCCCGGCCCTGAGCTCGCTCTGGATGGTGAAGAGCAGGACCTCCAGATTGCCCTTGTCCTGGAACCTGCGGAGTGACCACAGGAGTGACCATGAGTGACCATCAGAGTGACCATCAGCACCACCATCATGGGACTGAGTGACCACTGGGACCGCCAGAGTGACCACTGGGACATGGTGAACAGGAGAACCTCCAGATTGCCCTTGGCCTGGAACCTGCGGAGTGACCACAGGAGTGACCATCAGATCATCAGAGTGACCATCAGACCATCAGAGTGACCACAGTGACCACTGGGACTGCCTGGCCCTGAGCTCGCTCTGGATGGTGAAGAGGAGAACCTCCAGATTGCCCTTGTCCTGGAACCTGCAGAGTGACCACAGGAGTGACCATGAGTGACCATCAGAGTGACCATCAGATCATCAGAGTGACCATGAGTGACCACAGTGACCACTGGGACTGCCTGGCCCTGAGCTCGCTCTGGATGGTGAAGAGGAGGACCTCCAGATTGCCCTTGTCCTGGAACCTGTGGAGTGACCATCAGAGTGACCATGAGTGACCATCAGAGTGACCACCAGATCAGCAGAGTGACCACTGGGACCATTGGGACCGCCTGAGTGACCACAGGGGTGGGACAGAGTGACCACTGGGACTGAGTGATCATCAGAGTGACCATTGGGACCGCCTGAGTGACCACTGGGGTGGGACAGAGTGACCACTGGGACCACTGGGACCGCCTGAGTGACCACTGGGGTGGGACAGAGTGACCACTGGGACATGGTGGACAGGAGAACCTCCAGATTGCCCTTGGCCTGGAACCTGTGAGAGTGACCACAGGAGTGACCACCTGAGTGACCACCAGGACCGCCTGGGACCAAGTGACCACTGGGACCGCCTGAGTGACCACCGGCACCGCCATGATGGGACTGAGTGACCACAAGTGACCACTGGGATGAGTGATATCAGAGTGACCACTGGAACCACTGGGACCGCCTGAGTGACCACTGGAGTGGGACCGAGTGACCGCCATGATGGGACCAAGTGACCACCCCTCTGTCCACTCTCTGTCCACCCCAATGCCCACTCTGTCCATCCAAAGTCCACTCTCATCCACTCCATATCCATTCCATTGTCCACCCATTGTCCATGGGTGTTGTGTCCACTCCTCTGTCCACTCTCTGTGTCCATCCCAATGTCCACTCTCAATGTCCACTCTCTGTCCACCCCAATGTCCACTCTGTCCACCCAAAATCCACTCTTATCCACTCCATACCCATCCCATTGTCCATCCCATCTCCACCCAATGTCCACTCTCTGTCCACCACTCTGTCCACCCCAATGTCCAGTTGTCCAGTTGTCCACTCACTTGGCGGGTTTGTCCAGGCTGCAGAAGGCGCTGAAGGCCAGCAGCTGCTGCTGGACTGTCCACTCTCTGTCCACCC